GTATGGCTGCCGGTCTCTCCTCAGCGTCTCTTCGACTTCCTCCGCGATGAGAGGCTGCGGAGCGAGTGGGACATCCTCTCCAACGGTGGTCCCATGCAGGAGATGGCTCACATCGCCAAGGGACAAGACCATGCTAACTGTGTCTCCCTCCTTAGAGCCAGTGTATGTAACATAGTTTTTATCATGCATTATTAATATTGTTGTTATCATAAGGTAGGTTAAAATTTGAATAGAGGGAAACAAAAGATGGAAAATTGGGGTACGTCACATGAGTTTTGTTTTTTATCTTTGGAAAGGGGGGAGTTGAATGGCGTATGAGGTAGTTTTTACCATTCGGGATTAGTTTGTTGTGTGACGAAAATGTGCACGAGATGAGGATACGTCAATCTTGCATTGTCGTTAAGCGATGGGATAAAAAAAAGGTGAAATTGAGAAGGACAGGCTTGGAAATTTTGGAAGTATCTATGAGGACAATTGGTAGCAGAAATAGGGCAGCGTTTGTTTCAGTAAACTTTTATAAAAAGTCAAAATAGAGGACTTTTGTCAACTTTCTATTTTCCTCAGTTCTGACCTCATTATTTTATTTTTTATTTTGAAAAAATAGGGGAAAAGGGTGGTACCGGTGTTTGACTAGCTCATCACCGAACTTAACGAAAACGACAACACGAAAAGTTGGATTTTTCTTTTTTTCTTTTTTTTTCTTTTTCTAAATTTTCGATTTTTTATTTTTATTTTTGCAGGCTATTAATGCGAACCAGAGCAGCATGTTGATTTTGCAGGAGACGTGCACCGACGCGTCGGGGTCGCTTGTGGTGTACGCGCCGGTGGACATTCCCGCCATGCACGTGGTGATGAACGGCGGCGACTCTGCTTACGTGGCGCTTCTCCCGTCGGGGTTCTCCATCGTGCCCGACGGGTCCGGCGGCGGGGAGGATCAAGGCGGCGTCGCGTCGCAGGCGCGGGCGGGCGGGTGCCTCCTGACGGTGGCGTTCCAGATTCTGGTGAACAGCCTCCCGACGGCGAAGCTGACGGTGGAGTCGGTGGAGACGGTGAACAACCTCATCTCGTGCACCGTTCAGAAGATTAAAGCCGCGCTTCACTGCGAGAGCTGAGCGTCACGTGAGAGTTATGAGCGTCACGTGAGAGATGAGACAGCGTTTGTTGTTATTATTATTATTATTATTATAGCTTTTGTAGTTAAAGGTTATGGATAGGTGGCGCGTGTGAAGGACGCGAGGGGTGGGGGTGTTGAGTCAAGAACGAACCGCGCGTGGTGTGAGAAAATCCTTGTATGGTGGTGAGGGTCCGAGACTTGGCCGGGTCGGGTCGGGTTAGGATCTTTAACACAAGGCAAGGGTGGTGGTTCGGGTATTGACTCGGGTCGACCCCTTGTCTGCTCTACTAGTAGCAGAAGAAAAAACATAAGAGAATAGAAATATGGCAAAACAAAAAGGAACAAAATTGTGTTTCTGGTTAGGTATATTTAATTATTATATGTTTATCTTTTTTTTTTTTATTTCTATTGACTTGGGAGTTTGCTAGAATTGGATCTAGTTTGTTGCATATCATCAAATCAATAATTTGTTTTCATTTTTTGAGAATTAATTAAGTTCGTACTCTTTTTCCGTTTCTTGATTTTAGTAATTTTCCGTGTCCTTAATTTGTTTGATAAATATTTTAGTTATTGGATGTAATAGATACGTGACTATCAAGTATAATTTATTTTAATAAGATAGTGATTTTTTTTTTTTAATTTCTATTGACTTGGGAGTTTGCTAGAATTGGATCTAGTTTGTTGCATATCATCAAATCAATAATTTGTTTTCATTTTTTGAGAATTAATTAAGTTCGTACTCTTTTTTCGTTTCTTGATTTTAGTAATTTTCCTTGTCCTTAATTTGTTTGATAAATATTTTAGTTATTGGATGTAATAGATACGTGACTAATATAAGTGACACCAACACCTTAATGATTTTTATGTCATTATATAAGTACCTAATTACCTTAATGATTAATTGAAGTTTTTCTACTTGCATGCTTTGTTATAAATATATAAAGTAATTTCCAACTTCCAAAGTTGACTAGGAGTTAACCTGATATATACCCTTTTATCTGACTTTAGATTTTAGTTAGATCAAATCTTATGATTCGAGTTACGTAAACTTAAGAAATTTATATCCTATTATTAATATTTAAGATAGGACATAAGTCTGATTAGTCTAGCTTGGATATTAACATACATATTTAATTTTGGTTTGGTCAATTATCAATATTTTAACTAATTTGTCTTTAAATTTATAGAACCCGGAAGATCGATGTATAATTATAATACGATGAGATTTAACGATTTCAAATCCATTAAATAAGATAGTGATTCTTATAGGTGCTGTTATTTATTTTAATTAAAGTTCAAAATTTAGTTGAATAATTATGTTAGTTTCAACATAAAAATGATAAATTAATATTATATTATTATATAACAACTCACTACCCTTCTTTCTAAATATTTAATTATATAATTAGAAATTTTGCTCCAACAAGTGAAGTGATCCGGAATTTGGAGATTAAAATTATTAGAAGAGATTACTTTTATCCATACTTTTCTTTGAATATTGTGATTAAGAAATTATTGCAATTATTTTGAAGTGTAACACATTCTTCATGAAGCTAATTCATGTGTCAATTCGCTTGCAAAATATTATGTCAATTATGATGTTTCTTTCCAGCATTGAAACCACCATCCACTTCATTTAACTTCCTTGTTATTATTTAATGCTATGAAAATGTTACTCTTTAGTTGTAATTTTTGTTTCTTGCTTGCCTTTTGTAATTTTACTCATAAAAAAAAATTCTTAAAAAAAAGAGAAAGGAGTAATCGACCATCCTCAACTTTGCATTTTTTACAAATAGATACCATAAACTTAATCTGATTTGTAAATAGATCTTACAAACTTTAATTTTATTTCAATTAATCCTTAAACTTTATTTATTTTACAAATAAACACTCTCAACTTTAATTTCATTCTAATCGATATTGACTTTTGATAATTTATTATTTTTACAAAGTTTTTATATTATTAATTTAGAGTTAAATTATTTATCTTAAATATCAATCATTCACTAAATTTTGTGTTACATTTTTTTCGAAATATAATAAAAATACAAGTTTAGAAAAAAAGAGAAAAAAGAATGACAAAAACAATAAAAAGAAATCTTTATTTAATTTTCTTCTTCTTCTAAATTATATGGAATTTTAATATATATGGAAATAAAACTAATATATATGTATTAAAAAAATTAATAAATAAGTATGATTTAAAATAAGTACATGATTGATATTTTTTTTTATCTTAGTAATTTAATCTCAATGTAATATAAGAGACTTAAAAAATAAAAATTAATTAAGATAAAATTACAATCAATATATTTTTTTTGTAAAAATGATAAAATTTAAGTATAAATTATAATAAATTAAAGTTTCTAGTGCCTATTTGCTAACATAATAAAGTTTAGGAATCAATTAGAATAAATTTAAAGTTTATGTTATCTGTGAGATGAAGTTTAGGAGGAGTAAAAAGTTAAAAAATAAATAAATAAATAAATAAAAATTCTTCCCAAACGTCTAATAAAAGAGTTTATAATTAAGAAAATGAGTTTCACAATATCGTTAACCAAAACAAGTAGATGTGAATGGGAAATGAAAGAATAATAGAAGAGTTGATGGCAAACCAGCTAGGTCTATTTGGCTACACTTGATGTGTGGATATATAATTAGAATTGATGAATATTTGTTTATCGTAATTAAAGAATCAATTGTATATTTTGTGAGTTTGGAAAAGTCATTATAGTTCTGATTTAGTATATGTTGAGCAAGAATTTAAGACATTAGTAACTCCATGTTATTCACACACCTCAACCGTGAATCAAAGAAGTAATTATTAGTTGTCTTTTGTGTATTTTAACGTGAAAATTTGATACAACGTTGATTATCTACGCACTGATTATTTGGTGAATTGAGTTTAGTCCTGACTCGAGGTAATCAGAATTATTGAGTTAAGAAATAATGTCAAACTTTAACACCTTTATTTCTAATAGTCATTCTTTCATTCTGTTTACAAATTGAATTAGAATGACAAGGTAATAAAAAAAAAGTAAAAGATTTGAATATTGGGTTCGTTTGTTAAAAATTTATTTTTAATAAAATAAACTATTTTTTAATTCTTTTAATGTGTTTTGTCTAAAAGCCATTAATTATTTTAAAAATAAACAGTTTTTTTTTTTTAACTTTTTAACAAATTATATTTTCTTCTTAAGCAATTTTTTTAAATTTTTTTCTTTATAATTGCTTCTCTTTTTTTTTTCTTCTTTCTTTTTAAGTTTAAACAAACTAATTCATTATAAGACTCCTAATTTTATTACAAGAACTAACAATAAAAATTAAAATATTTGAAAGGATCTAAAAGATATTTAATTTTAACAAAAATTCATTTTCGTGCTTTTAATTTTATAGTTATTGTTTGTAAGAAAGGAAAATGACTTTGTTTGGCTTTTGTCAAACCACGAGCAATTATTATATATAGTTTTAGAAAGTTTTTTTATTAATGATATTTTTTATTTTATAAAGTTTACTATAAAATTTTAAAGATAAATAATAAAAATATTTTGCAGAGTATTCACAGATATTTTAAAGGTATTAATTATGTATTTTGAAAGAATTAAGCAAAAGTGTTATATCAAATGTATTTTATTTTGATTTTTAATATATCTTCTCATGTTTCATAACAAACATTTTCTATTTATTAAATTTTAAACTGTTATTTTTAGATTATTAATCAGCAAGACCTAGGTCTTCTTCCTCAAATCATATTATTATTTTTCTATAAAAAGTGACATTTTATCGTTCATTTTTCTCTCGTTGTCAACTCATGGGAACTTAAAAATCTATACATATGAACACATGACTTGTGTTTTGAAAATAATAATGGAGCTGCAATGGTGATGGGTGGTAGTTATTCCACGCGCCGGTTTACGATAGTGAAAGATTAATAATATCAATTCAGACATTATATTTTGCAACCAAAATTATATTACAATATAATAAATCTTTAAATATATTTTTAATCTCCAATCTTAGATAAATTTATTTTTATTATTTTTTTTAATTTAATTTGGTTCTTTATAATATTTTTTTTTCAATTTAGTTTCACTTTAATTTTTTAGTTTTAATTTGGTCTTTAATAATTTAAATTATTACAATATTGGACTTTTATTCAAATTATTTAAATGGAGTTAACTGTTGACTACGTGGATGCATAGGTGGATGCCAAATTTTTTTAATGCATCTGGAACCAGAATAGACCGTTCTGATTTCAGAACGGGCCGTTCTGATTCCAGAATATCAAATACAAACGATTAATAATTATAATCAATGACGGATCTAAAAATTTTAGATCGTGAGACCAGTACTTATTCAATTAAAAAGGTTAAAAATAATGTCACATATAAAAGAGTATATATCTTTATATTATAAGTAAAAATTTAAATAAATATATATAATTAGCAATATATTTTATATCATTAATTTTGGTGTATGAATAATGTGTTAGATAATTATAAATAAAAAAAAGAAGTAAGAAGAGTATATTTATTTAGATGGGTGTGATGTGATGACATGTCTAGCATGGTAAAAGTAGTTAGAAATGAAAGAGTAAAAAATGGTGAAAAAGAATAGATGTAGATGTAGTTGTAGTTGTGGTGTGTGATAGCATTAAATGAGGGAGCAGAAGGTGTTGGGAGAAGCGTTGCCATCATTTAATGCTATGGCTTTGGCGTCAACCCAATGAGGCTCTGACACGACCCTTATCTGACATAATATGCTAATCAATTATAATCTTCCGATGCTAAGTGCTAACTCATCCATTTCTGCTTTTTCCCTTTGTTCACACAATCAACTCTGTTTTTTCTTTTTTAATAAATTTAACCTAACTAATAACTATTGCTCTATTTGGTTAACTGCAAAATGTTTTACCCTAACTCAACTCTACTGTCAAACCAATGTGTGTGTATGTCCATGGTCATTTACTTGGACTCACAATACAACTCCACTCAGATAGATACATGTAAATCTAATAACTAATAATAGGGTTTTTTTTAATTTGTTCCTATCAGTAAAGAACCCATATATGATATATACGACTGTCGAATTATTATTCTTAATAATTATTTCTTTTATTAATAAAATATTATGATAATATTAACGAGAATCCAACTTTAATTTTTTTACTATTAAACGGAGCCTGAGAATTTGTTAGTGATTATATATTTAAGGGGTGAATAAAGGGTTTGGACATATAGTTTTGGCCTAAATTATAGTTAAACATAATAAACTTGAACAACATTAAAGTTGGGTATGCATATAGCATAACTGGCCCTGAAATTTTTTTTGGAGTGTCAATGTAAATTCAAATTATATACATGTTTATTATATTTTATAGACTACCATTTTTTGTCAATTTTTACTATATATA